AGCCAAAGGTGGAAGTGTGAGCCCATCCCAATTACAAGCACATTCCTAAAAGATTACTCCACCATATGCATATAGGATCCCCTTTGCATGTTTTAAGAAAGGTATCATTTATCTTGCTTATGATGCACAGGAGCTATTAATTCCGTTTTAATCATTTAACTGCTTTCTACATTCAGTTTAAAGCCAGCTTATGGCAAGAACTGGATGGCTGCACAGCTCAGCTATGTATGACCCTATGAACTGCTACAGGCCAGAACTCCCCCCTCCCCCCAAATGAGGCAATTCCGCCCCTCTACTCTGCTCTAGTGAGACCCCACCTGCAGTCCTGCGTCCAGCTCTGGAGTCCTCAACACAGGAAAGACATGGACCTGTTGGAGCGGGTCCAGAAGAGGGCCACAAAAACAATCAGAGGGATGGAGCACTTATGAAAGGCTGAGAGAGTTGGGGTGTTCAGCCTGGAGAAGAGAAGGCTCTGGGGAGACCTTATTGCAGCCTTTCAGTACTTAAAGGGGGCTTACAAGAAAGATGGGGACAAACTTTTTAGTAGCACCTGTTGCGATAGGACAAGGGGTAATGGTTTTAAACTAAAAGAGGGAAGATTCAGACTAGATATAAGGAAGACATTTTTTACGATGGAGGGTGGTGAAACACTGGAACGGGTTGCCCAGAGAGGTGGTAGATGCCCCATCCCCGGAAACATTCAAGGACAGGTTGGACGGGGCTCTGAGCAACCTGATCTAGTTGTAGATGTCCCTGCCAATTGCAGGGGCATTGGACTAGATGACCTTTAAAGGTCCCTTCCAACCCAAACTACTCTTATGATTTTAACAGTTCTAAGCACCAATTCTTCCCACAGAAACAAGTGAATGACCTCTATTAACTGGTGGTTCTAGTCCTAAATTGTTCTAGGAAGACTTTACAAGAAGTTTAAGAATTCTTTAAATACTCATTCATAATGTACTAAAGGAACCAGCACAAAATAAAGAGGAAGAACATTTGGTTAGGTTTGTTCTAGCCAAAAAAAGGCACCACTCAGTAAAATAGTATTCCTCTGAATTTAAGACAGAGCGCATATAGAGGATAAGGCCAGACTTATCTTGAATGGGGTAGGGGAAAAGGAAAGCAGCCTCCTTGGTAGTTCAAACAATACATTGAAATTTGAACATTGGACTTACAGAAGTACTAATAGGAACAGGTCAACAGCTAGAAGCTTAGAGGGAATAATTACACACACACCCCTCAAGAAGAATAAGAGGAGTGTTGCAGACCCATCAGTAGAGTACAGTCTTACAAGCAGTACCTCCGATATTCCACTATATCAGAAATATATTGACTGATTGCAGCATGCATCTTTACTGGACTATGTATTCAGAGGTTTTGAGAGAGTTTTTGTGATTTTAATTGTGCTGCTAGTCCTAAAACAGTTACTGTGTGGATAAAAACTTATTTTCAGCTCCGACATCATATTTTACAGTAACATTTTTAAATATAAAACCTGTCCTCTTCATTACTGTACTTACTAGAGCCTCCCTTAAGCTAGAAGAATGATCAACCCTTTTTCATGTTTGTCTTGAGCACCAAGTATACAGAAGTCCACACTACTGGGAAACAAACAAACAAACCCAACCTTTGAATTTATTCACAGTAGCTAAAGCCAGAACAGTTGCTGGGGCAATACAACAGCCTTTGTAAACTCAGCTGGTGCCTTCTTTCTTTAAAAAGAAAGTTACAGTGAAAGTGTATTTTTCCCCTCCCCCACTTCAAGAAAGTTTAAAGTGAAGTTCACCCCAAACTTCACAGTAGGAATGAAAAAGTATGAAGTAAGAATCCACCTAGGTTGTAAAGCTACTTAAGCTTTTTCTTGAGATGCATGTTTTATCTGAAGAAGCCCTGATACTTACTCTTTATAGCCTGAATTATTTTTTTTTTAAACTCTCTCAGCTACATTGAAAGTGGCAGACATTAAAGCTTTTAAATTATACAGTATCTATCCTAAAACACTGGTCTACCAAGTCATTCCTGCAAGGAATATAGACTATATACCTGTTAGAGGACTTTAAAGAAAATCTGTTCCATTAAGGCATGCAAAAGAAAACCCTGTGAAACACAATTAAGGGAAAATCCTTTTGTTTCTTTGTAGCATTCAAGGATCAGATCACCTTAATGTGAGACAGAATTTAGCATCTTGGTTTAGCATACAAATACCTAGAAGGAAAAAAATATTTCCATTTTGACAGGAAGTTAGTGTCTGTGCCAGACAATCATTCTAATGGAGATCCAACAATACCATCTGGCTGGCTGTCTCATTCCAAGAATAAGTCTGTCAGGTGGCAAAGCTTGTAAAAAGAGTATGAAAAGGCCACAGCACCAAGCAGCTCACTGGGACACTTCAGGTAAGAACCATAAAACAAGCGTCATAGCTCTGTAATACCAAGTAAATGCATTGTATTTTTCTATCTTGTCTAAACAATTGTTTCTGTTGACAAAAAGCTGTCTTACTATTTAAGGAGACTTGCATGCTTTTGGGTCCCACACAGAATGTATGTACTCTGTGCAAGCAAAGGCAGATCCACAAGAACTCACTACTGCCTACTAGTTCACAATTAACACGGTCCACTTGATTTGGTAATACAAGAGGTACAAATTTGCAAGAAGCTCCAATTGTGCACCTATTTTGGAAATGCCTTCAGCTACAGCCATATTAAACAGATGTTCCAACTTTCGGAATGCAACACAAAAGAGATTTACCTACTGTTTTTGTGTTATGCTTATAGGGTACTTCAAAAGAACATTAAAAATGCATGTTCTTAGTTATAACTTGTTACTTTTACTGGCATATGCCACAAAATGTACAATTCCCAGATGGGAATAAAAAAAAATTAGTTTCCTACGGCTGAGAAATGGCTAACAAAACCAGCACAACATGATCTAATGGAAGAGAAAATAAATGGCACTCATAAGGCCTGGGCTATGCATTTCACTGTGATAAGCCTTCTCAGCATGCTTGTAAGAACAGTTCATATCTAGCATCACCATTTCAAACATACTGAACAATCAACTCGCTCACCAGATGGTCCTATGGGTAACACTTGGTCAAATAAACATAAAATATGCACTCTATGTAGATATCTTGTTTTATCTCTTCTTTTGGTGTTGAGACTCTTCAATGAGAGCTACACATAGGCACTTCCTGTTTTCTTATCGCTACAGCATAAAGCCTCAAATACATCCCAGGGCAATCAAGCCAACTAGATCATTAAGCCAAAATGAAATCTGCATTTGCAAAGAAACAATTACCTTTATCAATAAACTGACATCACAGCTTTAACAGCCCGAGTAGGCTGTTTAGGTAAAGTTGCAAAGGAAAGGGTCCTGATATTCAGAAAACTCCAGATTTCTTCTTTTTTAAAAAAATGAGTTCAACTGTGTAAGATTTAAAAAAACTTACAAAGAAGCTGGTAACACAGAAGTGAAGTATAATCAAGCTACTATCTTTAAAACAGTAGTCTGAGAAAAACATGGCAAATTGTTATTACGGGAACACTTAACACAGTATCTTTAGTGACATGGAATAGTCTAAGCAAAGAAGAGGTTGACCTGAAAAAGCAAAGGTGTAAATTTATGCTATCAGAACATGGGTACAATTCTGCATAAAGGGATTCCAAAACCTATAATCATTTCTATTCCCCCCGCCGCCCTCCAATTAATAAAATTCCACTCTTGAGAAGCAGTCCTTGGACACTTTCCATGCTGCAGCCATATTACCTTAAATGTCCAGGTCTGTAGCAACTCAGTTCCCTTGCTTTATACACCCAGAAGTAGATGTTAGTGAAGTAAGTCTTTTCCTAGCCATCACCACTTCTAAACCTTCTGGAAATGTAAAGCAGGACATGCAATCCTATTCAAACGCATGTATACATCCTCAGCAAGAGAGGCATAATTTCCTTTTTAGTCTGGAGAGATTGAGGTGTTGGGAGTAGGAGAAGAAAAGCAGACTAGGACCCAACATACATACAAGACTGAACACAGTTCTCAATTCTCCTCTTTCAAAACCGCAGCTAATAACTACTACAAAATGAAGTTTGTTACTATGAATTTGTAGTAACTGGAATGCTCATATAGGGTAATATCTTCAACAGATTTAACAAATCTTTATTATGCTGTATGCCTTTCTCAAGGTAGCTTAAAATTAACTCTAGTATTATATTAGTATGTCACTAGAAGTTTGGGAAGCCAAGTCAAAATAAAAATTTATTTTAATTGTTTCAAAACACACAACTAAAATCTACATAATTATTAAAATAGGCTTACAGATACTCTTTGATTAACAGTTTGCATCACATAACAAAGGCGTATTTCAAATGCAGTATTTTGTCACAATTTTAACATACAGGTATTGCTAAAACTTTCCAAGTAAAAAAGCATACTCTACTGAGCAGCCAATACAGCTAATTACATTCTTGCATCTTAAGTTACATATAGGAATTTTAGGATTCTCTTAATTACTTTCCCAAAACTAATAGTGATGCTCAAGACTGCAGGTACATAAACTGTCATTACTGAACATAACCACATTGATTATGTAGTCTAAAGACAAGCAGGACTTAAAGGGCTTCAGCTGAGTTACAACTTGACATCTTCTGTTCCACTGATTAAGAGCTCGGTTTTAAAATACAACCTCTTGGGCAAATAACTGTTTCCATTTTTAAACTGCAAGAGGTAAGGGGTCAGTATTAGTCACTTAAATTGTGGTTTAAGAAAAACTAAGTGTAACATGCAAACTGTACCTTAAAGCTCAGCAGAAAATCCACATGCACTGAACAAATCAAGACTGTTTTTCCCATATTAACTCTAACATTCCAGTTAGTTATCAGGGGAAGCATGCAAACAATTAAAAACTGGAACTTTGTCAACTCTTACAACTTCAAACCACTCAAGCAAAAACAACTATATTGGAACAGGTAGAACAGAAACAGAAATTTCAACTTGAAGCAACTTTGTGAAAAAGGTGACACTGCATATAGTGCTAAACTGAACTGTAGTAACATCAAGTTAATGAGTTCAGATACTTTAAAGTCTTTGTTGATCAAACACTTTTGAGTACTGCTCTTCCTTTTCTGAAGTGATGCGCCTTCCTCTCCTAAAATAGGACAGGGAAAAAAGTTTTTTTTTTTCTAGATAATCAGAATAAAGCAACTGAAGTTTCATGAAAAGTATCTCAAGACATTCTGTACTCTATCCACCCCCCTCCAAAACTGATGAATACAGCTTCTGTATTCCTGCTTCAGAGGTACATGTGCCTAGTTCATGTCTGTGTTTTTTTTTAAAAAAAAAAAGCAAAGTCTTAAATATAACATTAATAAACAACAGAAATTCAACACCACATGAAATGTAATCAGAAACTGCAATACTACAAAGACTGAACACAATAAAGCAAAAATACAATGACCAGCTACCAACCTGGACTACAGTTTATTGGTTAAAGCATAGACATTTTACACGAAGTATGAAGAGCCACCATCCACAGTGGGTACTTAACTGGTGTGAAGACTGCCAATGCTCAAACTCAACATCCTCTATCCAAACTAGGGAGTAACCTACTGTACTTTCAGCAATTTGTCATTAAGAAATGATTAGCCAGTCTTATGCTCTAAGTGTCCGTGACCTGACTGTTCAGCAATTTTTTTTTACGCAGTCTTGTATTAAATCCACTGAATCCAATTTCAGCACTTGTTTCCAGCACTGAGCAACTGAGAGCCAACCACAACTATACATCTCAGAGCACATACAAGAAAAAAATTCAAATGGCATTCCAGATATTAATCTCTTCATCTTTATGGTATCCTGCAGGTGAACAAATTGTAGGTTAGCTGTGTTTTAGGGATTTAATTTTGCTTTCACTACGTACCTTAAAGTAGTCTTCCTGTGATACAAAGGTGTTCCTCAGACGGTTCTCAGGATTAAACAGACAGGATACTACTGTTTGTATGCTCCTGTCCACAGACTTCTGAAATACAGTTATAGGTGCATCTATAACAATACTAATGTTCTCAGTTAGCCCACTACTAGCAATATGGGTACATCGCAGGGTTTACTTTGCATTCAGGATTCCTCTCAACTGCCTTACATTTCCCGAGCTCTTTGTCTTTTTTTTTAATCTTGGTAACTCATTATCACCCTTAGATGTTAGTTACAACATAACAGTTCTGACCAGTGACATACCAGTTCTTGAAGTCTCCTTTAGAAAACTGAATTCAGAGCCAACTGTTGGCCAAACTGGGGTCACCTTCCACAAAAGAAAGTGAAGGGAGTAAAACGTTACCAATTCACATGTTTGAAGCTAAAAATAAATCTGCATATAGCAGGCAGTGCTACCTAACCTGCTTCTTTAGTACCTACAATTTCCCCTGTAATTCTCAGCAGATTAAGTAAAGCTGTGTCACTTATAAACACTGTTGTACTTAATGAAGCAGAACACACATTTTATACCACCCTCAGCACTACAGACAAGCACTAATAGCTTCAAGCAAACGTGAGGCTTCCTAAGTTGTACACAGGAATCAGATAGAGTGGATTGAGCATCTGGCTAAAGCAGCAACTATAACCTTAATTTCTACAGTACTGGTCAGTGGCCCTCTTCATCAAGCCACATAATCCTCGTGTGCAGATTTCTGGGAATAGGATTTATGACAAAAACATTAAAGTTTGAGAAAGCACTTACCTTTTGTGGACTGTTAGTAGACGACTGCGTGGGCTCTGGAACAGCACATTCTGTCTGTACAAATTCTGGATCCTCAGTGCAGTGATAGCTTACTGAAGTATAAACCTGTATAGTTTTTTAAATATTGCAGTGTGTCAGTAACACTGGGAAAACATGCACAGTTGTGTTGTCATTGGTCCTCACCTATCCATAAGCTATGCCGACTTTATCTTCGCACTTTATCAAAAGTTTCTGAGTGGGAAAATACTGTATCCTGATCTGTTTTAAGACAGTTTTACTTCCTTCCAAAAAAATATATTTAATAAATGTCTTTTCTCCCCACTGTAATCACTCTTGGAGAGTTAGCTCCTCAACCTACTTCCTCCACATATGGCTTTTGCTGTCAAGCATATTGAGCAATGAAGGCATTCACTGAGAATTCAAGACAACCAGCAGGTAACTTCGAGAGATTAAGCACTAAAAAAATCAAATGAAAGACGAAAGGGAAGCAAAATGTCTACTACCACTGGCCTTCCAAGAAGCTGCTTTTCTCCATACAGTTCCTTTCTTGTTTGAAGCTTCCTTCATGCTAATACACTAAATTTTTTAAGATGTAAAAAGGTCTAGAAAAGCACAAACCATTTTAGAGCTTTTTTAAAACTCTCTCCACTTCCCTCTGCTTACAGTGCAGTGCTGCAATTGGCAACCCAGTGCAGAGTTTAATTACAATAGCAAAGAAGCTGATAAAGCAGTTACTCTTTATAGAAACATCCTTCCAGATGCTTCCAGAGAGGATTAGCAGCTTTTACAGCCAATTTTACCAGGATCTCAGTAGCAGGGTTAAGCATTCTCACTTTTCAGGGACAAAGCTTCTTTTTCCCCCCCCTGCTCTCAAAGTAGTCAAATTTACCCAGACTTGACAGTAGTTTTCAGTTTCTTGCAACATCATTCTTAAGGATGTTATTTGCGATTATACACAGCAACCACACAGTGTACCACCTGACACTCCCAAAAGCCCTTGAACACCGAAACTATCATTTCAAGCTGACAATATTGGGAGATACGGAAGCCTACAGTGTTAGCAGACTATTCCTTTCTGAACACCATCCCTAACCATCAAAAGGCATATCATATCTGACCTCATCACAACTGGGGCATTCCATTTACAAATGGAAATTGCCATTATCCACCAAATAAATACATAGGTATAAAGCAGCAGACTGAAGGACGAAGTTTCCTATCTCCTTATGTGCCTGTCCTCTTTTAAATCTGTAAAGAATGATACTTAATGTTGCTTAACAGAGTTCTAGAAAAGCTGTCTGCTCATATAATCAAGCTTAAAATGTCTAATGAAAACCGCCATGCACACTTACTCTAAAAACTCTTTGGCTTGCTATCATTTAATTGTTAAGTGATATACTGTGGCTGTATCATATTTGTGGATGTTATTCCACAAAAATTATTCCAAGCCAACAGGGTATTCAGTATTTCAGTGACTTCTGAACTCTTTCGAGTCTGTTTCTTCCCCCATTAAAGCAAAGGCAATTCTCACTAACAAATACAGACTTTCCATGAAAAGAGAAAGGCTGCTTCTCTGCTGAAAACCTGAAAGTAAAGCTTAGCACACGACTGGAAGTGAGGAAATAAAGTATTCTTCTAATATGAAGAGAGACAGAATTGTCAGATGCATGCAGGCAGCAATATATATGCACAAAGTTCCATTTTCTTCATTTTTCCCCATTTACCTTCCACATGTTCTACAGACATCTGCTGGGAATCAGCTTGAAAGAATACCGTTCAGAAGAAAATTAAATATTACAGCTTTTAAACACTTCACAGAAACTGTACTCAACAAATACAAGATTATACCCAAAGAACACTAAAGTGTCTAGGATGCAAGTTTAAGTTCCAACACTGTTAAAGACAAACAATGATTCTTTCTCTCTTAGGGGTGTCACTTTTGTAAAGTCACAGAAAGCAAGTCATTTCTTTAGAAGCCATCAGCACCATCCACAGTCTGTAGCAGCCTAGCAAATCATTTAAAAAAGCTGTTGAAAGGAGCCAAAAAAAGAGTATTTCCAAAGCAGAATATTTTGAGGCTTTTTGAGTTTAAAAAAAATTGGAACAATAAGCAGTAGTATTACACAAATCTTAAGTCAGGATTGTGCATCAGGTCACCACATACTTTTCCTTCAATTTTTCATAAAAACCAATTCTGTTAATGTTAAAATTCCAGAATTCTGTGACCAGAATGTATGGAGTAACACCATAAAACAGGTAGTTCTGTTCTGCCAGGCAGCTCCTAAAAAAGCACCATGTCAGCAGGAAATCCTGAACAATTACCTACTCTGTCAGCAGCTACAGATTTGTATAGACCAGATTACATACAGACCCAGTCAAACAACAGTTTGATTTTCTTAAAGTATCAAGCTGTCAAAACTGTGCTAATTGAGAAGACAAAAGTTCCAGAAGTTTAACTTTGTAGACTTACCGGAGGCATAACATAATTTCTTTGCTCCCCAGCAAGCCATTGTGGTTGAACCTTAAACAAGAATTGGATAAGAACCAGCTTTTATTCATTCATTTCCAACACAGGCAAGTAACTGCTCTTCAAGAGCCACCATTTATAACATTTCATGTCTGGATTTTTCATTAAACAGTAGTTTACAGTCTTCTGTCCAGCAAGATAGCTTTTTCACGTGTACCTCACAGTGTTTAGCACGAGGTCATCCTTACCGCAAATTTAAACTACCTCCTTCCTCTTCTCATTCCAAGTTTTAAAAAAAAAAAAATTAAAAAATAAGATCTCTAAAGATGAGGAAAATAAGGGGAAATCACAGCAGCCACACTCAAACCTCTAGTTACTTGCAGTTACTGAACTACTTCTAGTTTAGTTTCAATAAGAGGACTTACCCACACATTTCACTTATGAGTTCAAAAATCACTATCAGCTAAGTGCCTTCCCAGATGTTTTTAGAGCTCAAAAGCACATCCCCTCTTTATATACGTCCTATATTTATATAGTCTTACCAGACTCAGTGATTGTTTTAAGTAACTAACATCAACTACCTACACTATAGCATGTACGAATACAAAACTCCTTCCTATGAGAAAAAGTATTACTGATCCATGTACTTTTTGCTAATTTGGAAGTTGTTTTCATTGCGTACTTTTAAAAAAATAAACAAAAGAGTATGCTAAGTTATTGAACAATTTTCATTGCACTAGAATAAAAATATCACTAATTCTGTTTTTACTTTTGATTTCTGTGAAGCAGGAGCTGAAGGGAAGTAGAATTCACAGAAAGAAACACAGAAAGATCAGACTCCAATTAACACTGTTCATCCCATTCCAGTTTTATCAGGTATCAAACAGCCTTTTTGCTGCTACTAAAGAATTACATACCTGATAGTTGTAGGCTGGCTGATATCCTACAGGAACTTGCTGCTGTATCAATAACGCTGGTGAACTATATGGATATGTCTGCAAAATAAAGCTTTTTTTAAAAATGCAAGTTTGAAGCAGGATAAAAAGTATGATATTTGTAAAGGTATTTATAAAGCCAGGAGCACATTTTCAGAAATATATAGTCACATTGTTACTTCAATTCCTGTTTCAGGCTAGCTTCATTATTTAAAAGCAACCTTTACAGATTTCCCACTGGGCTTCCGCACTTCAGGTGCTAAAATTCTCAAGAAAGTGGGATTCTAAAGTGTATTACATGTCTAAAAATCCCACATCTGCTTGTAGCTTATCTTTAAGTCATTTCAGAAGTACAACTCATCCCATAAACTTTCTAAAGTAGACCTGAAACAGACCAGCTACCAGAAAATAATGGACTACAGCCTGAAGATCAGTTTCTTGGAGCCAGAGGCAAGCAAGCTAAGTATTACAATTCAGACAATTTCCCAGAATTTCTTCACTGCAAGTATTTTAAGACAACATTAACCTGGAACCTTCTCAGCTTCTTCAGAGAATAGTTAAAGGCACTTTCCAGCATTTAAGAGAATTAGTTCCTCCTACGTTATTTCACTCTCCCAATAAACTTAAGAGAATCAGCAAGAGTACTACCATCAAACTTTCTGCCTTAGGGGGGAAAAAAAAAATTCTGCAAGTCACTGCAGTTTGCTCATCTTCATTTGCTTAAGAAAAATATACAAAACAGAATCAGTTTGCAATTAATATTGCCCTGTTGCATTGCCACATCATATAGGGTTAATACAGCAAGAGACCATAACCCAAAAGCCTTTATGCACAGTACAGGACTCATAACAAGGCCAGAAGTACTCTGCCTACACCTCAGTAAGAATGCTTATCTGAAGTACTAATAAAGTGATGTCCTGTAGGCATGCTGTACTGGTCACAGCTGTTAACAGCAGATGCCATAACACAGTGTTCTTACAAAGACACAACAGCAATTCAGAAACAAGAATTTGTTTGGCTAGGAGCAGGGAGAAAAAAAAAATATGGAACATTCCATACTTGTTTAAAAAAAAAATACATTCTAAAATTTGTGGTTTATTCTGAGGCAGGGTAGCAGTATAGTAAATATCCAGATGCATTTGATTTGTGAAGTGCATCTGTGACAAGTAACAAGATCACTGAAGAACTGTTAAATAATTAAATCTTAGCTCCACCTCCAACAACTTTTATAAAAAAAAAAAAGACATGGAGATACTTTTTATTTTGGGAAAGAGATCACATCACTGAACAAATTTTCAAGGTTGTTGGCCTTCCTTTAAAGTGGTTTGAAATTGGGTGCTCCTTACTGGGGAAAGGAATATGAAAACAAGTGGGTAAGAGAAGATCGGAATCTCAATACATATTCCTGAAGTTGTATGTGCTTGCACCTTCAAAAATATTTAATTATGATTCAAAATCAGTGGCATGAACAGCCTCACCTGAACATACTGCGTTACTGGGCTCATTACAGCTGGAGGCTGCATATACGTCTCTGCATTTTGATTACCCCAGACACTATGGAACTGTGGTGCAGGAGGATTGAAGACTAATGGCCTGGGATGCACATAAGAACCTTGTTTTAAAGCAAAGAAAAATAAAGTATTAAGACATTTTCATGTGTATTTCTTAGTAATCTGAATTCAAGCTGCAAATAATTTTAAGAGTCAAAACACGGTTTAACTCAGCATTAACTGTCTTGTATTGTGCTACCAACCTGAGTTTTATTATCAAAACTGTACAGCATCACACAACTAGCGAGGTCATAAAATTCAGAACTGAAGTTCAATTGTAAAATATATATTATATCAGATAAAAAGTACTTGCAAGGATGTTAATGTATAATTAAGAAAAAAATTTGTAATATATACTTGTAATATGAACAAATTTGTTTATATATACTTACACAAGTTTTGTTGCTTTCTAATTGCTGGCCCCAGTTTCAGCTTTTTGCCATGGAAGTTGATTTGTGACTGAAAGACAGGTTATTCTGTAAGCTGCAGAATCAGCAAGGTGGGTGGTTGGTTTGATTTTAAAGAGACTGTACTCTGCTTCTACAGTATCAACTCACATACAGGCTCAATAGCCTCCATTCTCCTCTCCCACCTCAATACCTTATGCCTTTTACCTTTAATTTCCTACTACGTTCTCAGCACACCCAGTTTGCCTACTCATTGACTCTCTAAACCTATTATACATCACTTGCCTTAACAGCAACATGCACTACTAGTAGTTTGCAACTACATATTGGTGACTGTCAGCCTCCTGGTTTTATACATGCAGAGTTGAACTACTCTTGCCTCGGTAAGGATATTAATGCACAGTGACTGCAGTCTAGGTTCCCTTGAAACCCTATTTACATCACCACTTACCTTCCTTCCCACAAACTTCCTAACAGGCTTCACGTAACATGCTAGAAGCTGTCCACCCAATATTAAAGGAAATGGAAGGCTGTCTAAGCACTACTGTTTACCTGCACGTTACTGTACTCTCTCTAGAGAAATTTTCGCCTATATTCCTTCAGAACATCCAACAAACATGCTGCTATTTCACAACTTTTTTGCCAAAGCATCTATGCAGCACACAGACTAATCAAGACAGACTGAAACTGAAATATGGCTCACATGTTCCTCAAACACCCAAACCAAGGAATACCTGAAATATCTCAAAGACTTGCAAACAGGGCTGGAAGCACTCCTCAGTAGTCAGCAAATGCCCAAGACACATGTAACTTCCCATTCTGCAAGTTCTGCCCAAATGCTAGTTCACACAGAAGGCAGGATTTCAGACTTTCAATGATCAATCATTGAGTACTGCTTTGGCAGCACAGTATCTGGAGCCATAACAAAAGCACAGGAAGAATTTCAAGCACCCTCTCTCCCTGCAGAAGTTGAATTCCGTGTTCTTCAGCAAAACTGCTTAGTTTGAAAACTGGAAAAACATTCACCAATGGATGTAGGCTGAAATTGCACCACAACATCCTTACACTTCAAGGTCTGTTTGGACTGACTGTAGAAGAGGGCCTGTCAGATTTTGTTCTCTACAAGATTACAGTTTAAGTCTGGAGTATAGAAAGTTGCTTTAATACATGGATTTAAGCAGATTAATGTTTATTCAGGCACTCAAGAACTTCTCCACCCAAAACTCCCACAACAGAATTCACCTTTGGGTCTGATCTCACATTCTCTACCAAGACGGTGACAAGAAACATGTTTACCTACCTATGAATCATAGAATATGAAGACGTGCATAGCACACATGACACTACCTAAAGTAGGTACTCTGTTACAGTTCAGAGGGCTACACTGAGCTTTACAAATGCTTTTACGCATCAGAAGTGAAGTATTTTTGTCTTACCCCAATTAACACAAATTTAGTACCAAGTATTAAAATCAATATTGGATGCAGATACATAGTCTATCTCGATTCTCCATCTTATGCAATACAAAGAACTTGCCTGCTTCAGAGGAAAATATGCAGTTTGCAATTTTAACAGACATCTCACTAAGCTTTTTCTCCCATTTCTGCTAAAGAAAGTGCTTTGAACAGGTAACAGCAACTTTATTGTTGATAGTAAAAATACGCAAAATAGGCAGAATAATAGTGATATTAAAAAAAGTCTTATTCAATCATCTTCTCATACTGATAAAAATAAAGTAAGAAGTGGGTGGAAAAAAAGGTGAAATACCCTGACCAGTTTGACAGGTCTTTTTTTTTTTAAACTGATCTTGCAATCCTGTTGTGCCCAGAACCATGCAACCAACTTTTCCACCTAAGCAACAAGAGCTCTTGGAAGACAGGCCTCCCCTCAAAGCAGAAGGTAGCTTTCTGTTCTGAACTGCAAACAGATTCACTCTGGGCCAGAGTGCAGCTGCAAATGGCATCAGACCTAAATCAGAAGAAAAATACTTCCAGGTTGCACACAGCTAGTGTTAGGCAGATAAACACAGGCATCTAGAGTGATTCTAACCATGGAGAGGCTCTATCTTGTTCATTTACATAAAACATTTTAACCACTCAGTACAGGTAATGCCTGAAATGGTTTACTGAGGTGATGTCTGCTTATCACTTGAGCTCTAAAACGCAGATGTTCATTTCTTTCTCTTTTTCCATCCCCTCCAGAAGCCAGCAACTTTCCAAGATGACTTCTATCTGGATGTACTTCTCCCCGACAACTCAGTAATTTCTACTGCCTATACACCCGAAATTTGCACTGAAAAGAAAATCTGCCATATACCTCTGGGTCTTCCAAAACCTCTGGTATACAAAGTCACATTAGTGAGTACTGTATTAATAGAGATACACTGAGGGCTTTTAGTTTTGAAGAAATGCACACATCAGCAATGTAAATGGCTCTAATGACAATGCCACTCAAGAGGTCTTGACAGAGATTGTTGCCTCACAGCAAGCACTGATCTAGTACAATAAATGTAACCCATGGTAAAAAAGAAAGTATTTCAGATAAAGTCTGTTGCTCAATACAGCAGTATTTTTGTCAGCATACCCTGACAGTTAAAGAACAGCAAGCTTTTGAAATCTTTTGGCAAGAATCAAGAATCTCCTGTTTCTTGAGTTTCACTGCTCTCCACTTTGTTCAAACATGTTCTCTTCCCCCTTAAGGGGCCGGACAGCCAGTAAACACATCTGATCATATCACAGAACGCTAAATTTGTGCCTGGCACATTTACCTGTATTTGTCTTTCAGATCTACTTCCCTATCCGAGAGCTTCAGAAACAAATGAGAGACTGTTCATCCTCCAGAGACATGGGAGTTTTCTGAAGCAAAGACTTCAGAGAGGGAAATATTTCAATACATTTTTATTTTCAGTTACTGCACTCAGGTTTGGGAGAAAGAGGGGAAAACAAAAAGCTTTGTCAGTGGTTTGTGACCTGCTGAAGTCTATCAAAACCAAGTAACAGATTTGGTTGTAGCGTTGACATTTAAAGTTTTTCTGACACTGAACTCTAAGAGCAGGAGGGCTGTAACAGTTCTAACCCTTTATCTCCTGTGCGAACTACAGGAAAACCATATGACATGCGAACAGCTGCATCTTATAGTCAAGGAGGCTTAGAAAAGGCCTTATATCATCTTATAGTCAAGGAGGCTGGCACTCCAGGAAACATTCAAACACACAAATACTGCAAGAAACAAACACATACTTCAACTGCTAAGACTTAAGTTAAAAAAAAAAACAAAAACACACAAACCCACAAACCACCACTAATGCTGTTTTCTATGTTACTGTTATTCCCAATAATAATGCTGACAGGTCTATGTACCTGCCGTAAGCACAAAGGTTTATGACAATCATCCGCTACAGAGAGCAACCAGCCAAACACACACGTGAGGCTTTCAAGCACATAAATGAACGAGAAGCAGCCAAAACCACACATGAGGCTTTCAAGCACACAAATGAATGAGAAAGACCAGAAATGTACCATGAGACATTGAAGCACACCAAGGCTAAAACTAATTGTTTCTTACTTAAGTAAATATACAAACATTCTACCACCAGTAGACATTTTAGCAAGTTTACTTCTTGGGCAGCCCTAGACTTTCCTTGTCTTCATTTACTCTACAGAATACATGACTTGGTTTCCCCTGACCATGTCTCCAGCGTTCATCTATCAACTTCTTCAGATAATTTAGACAAAGAGCTTACTTCTACTATTTTTTGAACATCCACATTGTCCAGGAAAGATACAAATCCATACCTGAAAAGAAAAAACAGGTTATTCAGTAACCAGATTTTGATTTGCCTGTTAGTTAAATTATTTTGAACTAACCAATTAACAGCATATATGCCAGGTACATTATGTTGCACATCAAAATTATCAAGCAGGACATTAGTTTATAATTCAGCATGAAAAAACATCTACTGCTAACCAGCAGTATATAGTACTAGGCCAGATGAAAGGAATTCAATGCCGGATTCTAGAATAATACGAAATAGATCTAAGGGCTATTCTTCCATTTCAGCTACTCAAAATAAGCACTATTGTTGATATTACTAACTGAGAAATTAAGAGAGACTTCAAGTGTTAAGATCTGAATTATCAAATTTTGTATTTACTACAGAGGTCTGGATGAAAGCAAGCATTATAGAAACAGCAACACCAGTGGGGGAAGTGATCCTTGAAGAGGTTTCTCAATTTATTTCACTGACCCCCAAGTTTACCTAGTCTCTAAAATGAAGATAATTTCAGAGCACTATAGGAAGAGTTGTGTCAATCAATGGAGCATGCCAATTCATTATCAATACTCAGAACATACACTGGCTAATTGCACATCAGAATTCACCATGAAGACTAGCAAGGGATATGAGTAAATAAAACATATTTCCAGCTCATGCATTACTACATATGCCCAAGAAAAAACATGACTTCTTAGGATCTGCTCATGGGATCTTTGAAAAAATTGGGCTGAAGGAACCTCCAAAAGGCAAAGCCTCCTTCTCAAAACAGGGATAACTTCAATCCCGGGAGAGTTTCCCCAGAACTCAACAAGCTACAGTCCTACGTTTAAGCGTTTCATCACAGACAACTCAGAATTTTTCTATATATCCAATGGGAATTTCCCTTGCCTCAACTTCGTTCACTTACTTAGTTTCACTCTTTACCCAAATGAGTTTGGTTGTTTTCTCTAAAACTTATCACCAAGTGTCAGAGAGGGCAGTCCCATTGCCCTAAATAAACTTCTCTTAACCACCCTGAACTCTCTCCATATTGTCGTTAACTACTCTAGCCATCAGAAGAGTCCTACGATAGAACTGTCTGCATAAGCCTAACCCAAGTTTCAAGCTTTGTTTCCACTGGTTAAGTGACAATAACTCTCTTCTCCCTGAACACAGACTGAAGCAAAAATCAGGCTATTCTTTGTAATACAGATTTAGGGGTAATCGAGATTTACAGGTTTCATAGTGTTAATTCACCACAACAGAAAACTGTAGCTAGTGTTAAGGCTTAAGCATGACAAGTGCGTTGCTAAGTAGCTGCGCATATCATCTATGACAGTATTATGTAGATGTAAGCAGCAACTTAGAACAACTATCCATGTCCTACTCACCCTTTGGAAACACCAGTTCTGTCAGTGATTATTTTCACCTCTTTTACAGTACCATATCGTTCGAAGAAACTCCGAATTTCTGCTTCATTCATCTAAAAGAAACAAAGTCTTAAACTTCTTCAAACACATTCAACTGTTTAGAACTGATTTAAAGCACCCAGTACCATTTTTAAAGCCATCTTCTACTACCAGAAGAACTAAAGTTATTCACCTGTGGAAAATTCTCTCATGACACTGCAATACCTTAAGATTGGTAAAGACACACATTAAAAAAAAAAAACCCGGAGTTAAATTTCATTTCCTTCCCACTGAAGTGCCCTATACCTATCTTAAACAATTAAAAGTATATAAATACCCTTATATCAATTCCACCAACAAAGACTGTGTTTGGCATGATTTTTCCTTCTGGTAAAACATATCCTTGACTGGTTGTTGACAAATGGGTATTATCCTCCGAGACACCTGCACACTGGGCCTCCACATTTGCAGACTGAAAAATTTAAACAGAAATACATATTTCAGTCAAATTATTATAGTACACTAAGATACTAAAACACCTGCATCTTCCTATGGATACAGCATGGGACAATGAATTTCGATAGCACCTTTCCAGTTACTTACAGGAAGTACTTGCTGCAAATAGACCATTAATTGGAAAAAAGCTGAGGTAATTATTCTAAGAAGCTTTAAAAATTTAAATCTACACCTAACCTAGGCTACTTCAAGTAGCCCTATCTGACTATATGAAGCTTCATGACCAGTGTTGCTACTACCAGACAACCAGTGAGAACGCCAAAATAATTCATTTCATAACTTTACCAAATTCCTTTCATATGTAAGCAAGAAATTAAATTCTTTAAAGATACAATTTACTGTAAATTGATTACCCAATAGAACAAACTCATCATCTTCCTTGTCAAAAGCTTTAAATACTTGAGATGTGAATAAGCTTACAAACAGTCTTAGAGCACAGGTAACAGGGTTATACTGCAAGTTAGCAGTAAGAAGGGAAAACAGACCTTGATGGAATATTCACATTATTAATCTTCTCAGAAAAAAGATTTCGTTGATTAAACTACAACAGGAATATGAACAACTACAAACTTGTTTCCGAGTTGTCTGCACCCAAAGCAGGATCTTAAGCATGCACTGCAGGTACAGAAGAACTGCCAAGAATCTTAAGATTATAGAGCAACTACAGTCATGATGTGCTTTGCACACCCAGGCTTCAAAAGCACCATTTTGGTCCCAAAGCATTTTGTCACAACCTAGGGAGTTATGGGTTCATTCAGCACAGAGGAAGATACAATGCTCCTTAAATAAACAGTAATTCAGTATTTTGTTCGGATGAACAGACCACATGAATTTCCATTTCTTGTTACTGAAGCTAGCAAAGATGTGTTCCTGCATAAGGGTGGAAGTGTGTTTTACAAAGGTATTTACAAGAACTAAAATACAGCATAAGCATCATGGGCATCGCCAACTCTAGCCCATCTTGTCTTCTACTCTCCTGAATGAATGGTTCTAGCTATGTGCCATGCTTTGCCTGGATGGTAAGAACCACTCTGAGCAGTTCAGTGCTACTCATCCCTCTATATTAATGCACTTCAAAACATTAATAAGCTTTTCCTTAGAATTCAATTGATGTGGCATTGTCCCTACTTTAGATATTCCAAACTTCAATTTAGTCAAAGTTATCTGGCAATTTGAAATCTAATAATTTGCAATAGGTAGCATCCAATTTTTCAATGTAACAGTTTTCATCTTCAATCAACATTTAAACTGCAGCTGCACGCGTTGAGTACTCATTCAAACTGGACACCCAGTAAGGGCATGAGAAAATTACAAGAACCAAACTATACATGTGGCACATGATTTGCCCAGCAATTAAACAAAGCCAAAACTAGAATTCAGCCCTCCAAATATGATTTCAGTGTGACTGAACCTAATTAACAACACACCATTACTAAAAGCCAGAAAGGGTTTACCCCATCTCTTTTCCTGCACCTCCTCTGCACAAGTTCTAACACTTGTCAGTTCAAATTAAGCTGGCTCAACTCAATTTGGCATGAAGATTAACATGAAGTGAGCAGCTTTTCACCCAATTAGTATTCTGCTATTGTACAGAACTGAATCAGCTTAGTATACTATCAGACAAGCAGCAGATCCACCTCAAGATCAGTGGATGCAGAAAAGGAAATGGAGATGGGGGAGGCTTAGCTGCTTCTTCTGAGAAGCACGAAGCCATCCATTCAGTTCAAAACCATTTCATGAAGCTATACCTTAGACAGAAGCTGGTTTCATCACTCCAGACACCGCTGCCTACGCTCAACTTACTCACTGACTATGTTTCCTATTGCAAATTCTCAATAAAAGTTACAAGTCATTCCTTTCCCTTTATCCTCTAAGAACTCCCTCTACCCTCCAGTGAAGTTGGAGACCACAACTTCCACTGTTCCATGGTAGTAAAGATTGTGTAATAGAACATTTCTGCTGTAAACAGAAGGGTAGCTCTCCCCCTTCCCTCATACTGTCCCAGAACACCACTGCACAAGGAAGTCAATCCTACATTTCACAGGAGAAAATTTTTGTAGTACTTTTCAGACACATCCACTTCTGATCCAAGCTGATTTTGCCATTACAGAAACACTTGTGCTAGCCTAAGAACACAACAAGGGCAAAAATGAAGCAGGAGGTGAGCAGGAGACCACTTCTTTGGCTGCACCCCTAGCAAATCTGAGACTGCAACTCCACAGCAACCTTAAGCTGACCTAACTGTTGGCTTCTACTTCTTTCTGGATCTGTTTCAGTGAACGAGGCTAAACGAGAAGCATTCACTTTGCTGTGCAAATTCTCTGGCAACCCAGAACAGGAAACAGCTCACAGCAGAGGCACCCAACAAGTGCCAGAACCAGCGCAAGGAAGCAGGTAGGCATACAGATACTGCTCCTACGCAAGTCAGATATGGCCTTGGCTGCCATGGAAGCGCAGAGTTCATTTCACTGATGAGGCAGAACACAATTTTCAATGAAAATACACTTATTTAATGCTTTTACACATTTAATATCTAAAAGAGAGTAAACCAGGCTACTTGGGCATTCTGACAAATTAGTCAACATTAAAAACAAGCTTTAAAATCTGTTAATACACTTATTTAGAACTTGAAAAGGAGCAGTTGTTGAAAAATGCAGTGGAAGAGCCTCATAGTACAGGGACAGGAAACAAAATCTTTCAAACTTTTCAAGTCTTAAGTACTACAATGCAAAACTTTTGCCAATTTGAAAAAAGTACTGCCCTATCTAAAGCCAAGTTATTTTAGTTATTTCACTACCTAATATAGCATTATGTAAACGATTGTACTTTACATACAGCATGGGCAAAAAACTCACACTGCTGCTGAATCGGTATCCAAAGTCTAAGTCACTTGAAGTTTTCAAAATCTGGAAAATCCTAAAGTTGATGAATTGGCTACCCTGAAACTACAGCATCAGCTGAAGTGACCCAACCCTTCAAAAATACCATAAGTGAGGTTGATTTGTCTATCCATCTCACGTAGTATCTTTGAAATCAAGTTTCTAGACGTCGGGGAACTTAGGACTTATTCAAAGTTTTTCAGCTTATTGAAATTAAAAGGTTCTTTTTTCCTTTGTCTCATCACAAGGTGAATTTCATCATTTTGCTCTTTGCATTATTCCAGCAAGCATCAAGTTTAAGTTGATGCCAGGAAACCGCATTAACCCCTTGAGTACAGTAGTCATGAGGCTTCTTAAGACTTTTGGAAAAAAAAAAAAAAAAAAAAGAAAAAAGGTGGAAAAGCCAGGTGGTGGAACTACCTAGCTACTCAAGCGGGTTACAAACATCACTCGGTCTTATGCACATCTAGGGGAGGAAAACCTTCACTTTCATTTTGGCCACAGAAGTGTAAGTCCCTGATTTCGCAGGCTTCTCCCTGTCCTCGCACACTTTAAAATAAGTATTAAACATTTTACGTTTAAATTTTAAAAATTTACAGCTCCTGACAGATGCCCCGCTGGGCAGAGTCTCCGTGGGCAGGCATCGGTTACCATGACAGCACACCACCTAGAGAAAGAACATGGCTCCCGCCGCAGGGAGCACAACGTCGCCTTCCCACTCGGCAGCAGGTGGAGCCATCAGTCAAGTACTCGCACGCTAACGGCTGCGACTTTTAAGGCTTAACTTTAAAAACAATCAAACAACAAAATACCCTGCATTTATGTTGCTGTTGAAATGTCTGGGTTACAGTCACAAATCCCATTTTTCAAATACAAAATTCCGGAGGAAGAAACAGCAATTGGCATGGTGAAGGAGCAGGCGCGAGTGCAGGCAGTGACTCCCACCGACCACACGGAGTCCGCAGCGGACCGCGCGAAGCCTTTTTCCGGCAGGCACAAAACACGAACGGGGAACCTGAGGCGAGCGCGTTACGGGGCCGCCGGTCCGCTCCTCCCGCCCCCCCGCAGCCATTTCACGGCCTCACGTCCTGCGGGCTTCGCACCTGGCCGGCCTCACGGCCTCGGCACCAGACGAGGCGCGGGGGAAGAGGGCTTCACGCTTCCTAAGAGATCTGGGGGCGAGGGGAGCCGCCCCGCCGAGGGCAATGGAAGCTGTTTCAAAGTCCCCGACGCCCAGGTTCCAGCCTGACCCTACCAGCAAGCGGGGCTAGGTACGCAAGGAGAGGACCGACGGAGCCGGCCGGCACCGACCGCCCCCCAGCCGCGGCGCCTGCGTGGGCTCGGCCTGCCGGGACAGGCCATGCGCAGAGCAGGGAGAGCCCGGCCGTGGGGCACGGCGCCATGTGGCAGCGCTGCCACAAAATGGCCGCCCATGGTGTGAAGTGCCTCCTGCCGCGAAGTCCTCCCCAGACCATGGCGCCGAGGGCTGCCAGCCCTGACACTTTCCCCCCACAGAAGCCCCGGACTTTTTACTTGTAGTGTGCCCTCCCTGACCTTAATCCCTCACCTCCTCTTAAGACTTTAAAACCTCCAAGGTGTTTAAAAATGGCATTAACCCTCAGAGGTTCAGCCCACGCAGCGGCGCACCCCTCACTTCATTACAAGGCGACACTACCGCGGCTGTGGACATCCCCATTCCTAGGCACAAGCAAAATAAGTTCTTTGCTGGGGAAGACCCAAGCCAGCCACTACAGCCCCCAGCAACAAGCCGCCCCGTGGCTCGGCGTTCAAGCGCACCCCCTTCACCCCACTTCCCACCGCGCCGACCATGGCTCCCATCATCCCTCCTCCTTTTTTTTTTTTTTTTTTTTTTTTTTTCTTTTTTAAACGGTGGAGAAAGGCAGCTCCTGTTGGTTACCCCTCTTCTCCTTAAGTAGCCCCAAGTGGAAAGGGGCGGGGAAAGGCCACACCCGCCCTCGCCGCCCCCTGGCAGCGGCAGCGGCGCAGTCTGCGGGGTCTCCGGGGGCTCGCCCCCTCCCGCCTTCCACGGGTCAGCTCTCGCGTTGTCGGTGTTTTAGGGGAGTGTCTGTAGACAAAGGGTGAAGGGTACCGTAGCTTTTCTCTTTGTGAAGACATTAGGTGGGACTATTATTTGTGGCCTTGTTGTTGAGCGGGAGCTGGCTGTTGAGTGCCTGTGGTAGCAGCACGCTCTCGTCATTTTGACAAGAACTAGCGCTTCCTTGGTGTGTTGAGGTTTGAGAGCGGTGTATTGTTGAAGAGGCTTTCGCTCACTTTGAGACAAAAGCTGAAGCTTTGTCATCAGTGTTTTAATGAACCAGTGTTACATAGCTGTTCTAGAGCGAGCTGTTTCCATCTCATCTCTTACTGCCTGTACTGAAAACCAACCTGCTGTCTGTTCAGTCTCCCAAGACCTTTCTAGAAGGAAACCTCTCTGGAAGCCCTTCTGGTGCTACAGTAATAAGATGCTTCTACTG